CGCAGGTAAGGAGCCTAGGGAAAAGCTGAGCACATGGGGGGGAGGGGCGGCCCCTCCCTGTGGCTGGTGCTCCCTGCTGCAGCTGTACGCAGCCTGTGTGGGGCTCTCTGGAGCAGGCACAGGCAGCCCCTGGTGGGCTGCGAGCGGCTGCAGCACAGGGCGCCAGGCAGGCGAGGGGCCACTCCCCCCCCTCAGCTTTTCCCTGGGCTCCTTCCCTGCCCTTCCCCCCCTTCACTTCCCCCTTACCTGTGGTTCCAGCACAGGGCAGCCACGTGGACCCAGGCTGTGGGGCTGGGGCTGGGTAGGCCCTGCTGTTGTGGGAGCCCACTGGGCTTCCCCTGGGTCCTACTGCCCTTGGTTTCTGTCATTTTTGACAGAAACCAAGGGCAGAGAAATATTGATTTTCTAAATTTTTTTAAGAGTCCCACGGGGCCATATTTTGCCCACCCCTACACAGACTGATCTGCCTTCTTCCCTTAACAGTAGTGGTTCTCCAGCTTTTTAGACTAGAGGCACTTATCTATAATTTTTGCAAATTGAGCAGCACCACATTGCAAAAACTAAATTTCTTACAGTGCTTACCTGCCTGAAGAGGGCCAGGAAGGAGGAAGAGCAGCCAGCAGGGGAAAGCCTGCACTGCAGGGAACAGAGGGAACGGGTAGGGCCTGCACTGGTCTCCTCTCACTTTAAAGGCTGTTGTGGCACCCCAGGGTGCTACAACACTAACTGAGAATCATTGCCTTACAACTTCCAGCATTTGGAGGTCTAAGAAGTCCTAATTTGAAGGTTAGAGCCTTACTATTGTGTTTAATACTCACCAATGAACTCTTCCACATGAATCTATCTAATCCTCTTTTGAGCCTGATTAAATTGTTATCACATCAGCTTCTACAACTTCTTGTGGCAATGATGTCCAGATACTTATTACACACTGTGTAAAGTAACTTCCTTATGTTTGTTTTAAAATTGATCCCTAATGATCTCATTGGATGGTCCCTAGTCCTAGTATTTTTTTTAACATCTCTTACTTTCACCACATTATTCATTATTTACAGACCTCCATCATATCAATCCATCAGCTGTCTCTTCTAAACTGAAAAGTCCTAGTCTCTCCTCATATGGAAGCCTTTCCATGTCCCTGATATCTCCCATTGTCTCTCCCCCTACTTTTTCTACTACTACTGTACTTCTGTATCTTTTTTGAGGTTGCAGAATGTAAGGAGGCAAAAGATTCAGTATTCATAGTGTGGGGGGTACCATTAATTTATAGACATATTAAATATTTTCTATTTTGTTTTCAATCCCCTTATCAATAATTCCTACTGTTCTATTGGTCTTTTTGACAGCTGCTGAACACTGGGGGGCTGATGTTTTCAGAGAACTACATACAACAGCTCCCAGATCTCTTAGATGAGTAGTAACAATCAGTGTACAGCGTATGCATGTGCATCTCTAGTTCTCTAGGTCCTACATCTCAGTTCTTTATGGCACTGGTATACAAGTACTTCTACTTTTTATCCTTGCTGCCTTATTTTTACATGCCCTGTTTAGTTGGCTGCTCCTCCAAGTCTTCCATGTTCCCTATTCATTCCGCTTTCCTACCCTTTTTGGAAGGCTTAAGAGTTTTTATGACTTTTTAATGCAGAGATGGACTGATCATCATCCGCACTGGTCATCTTTCCTACAGCTTTCAGTTTAAAGGCTACTCTATCACCTTCTTTGATGTTATGTACCAGCACTCTGGTACCCTTTTGGTTTAAGAAGAGCCCATCCCTCCTTCATAAGCCTCACCTAGTTCCTAAAAACCCTAAACTTCTTTCTATACCAGTGGTCACCAACTAGTGGATCTTGATCCACCCGTAGATCTCGGAGCCTCTGAAGCTGGGGTGGGGGGCTGAGTGCCTGTGTGCATGCACACGTGCACCCCAGGCCAGCATGTCAGTCCATTGGGGAGGGAAGGGGCAGGGGCTAGACCAAGGTCCACTGTAGTGAGGGACTGTGCCGCAGGAGGCAGGAGCAAGGTTAAATTGAGTGGGGCCCCAGCTGTGTGGGACTTACCTTCTGGGGAGGCACACCCCCAAATAATTTTTCTCCCTCTGTCTGGATCTGCGCCCCTCCCCCCGCCTTCCCCTCCTCACAGACTTACCTGCTGGGCAAGGGGGGGAGTGGGGAGGACCAGTGGCAGCAGCACACAGTAGATCTTAGGTTGCTTTTAAATGCCAATGGTGATCTACTTAAAAGGGACTGGAGACCACTGCTCTATACCATCTCCTCATCCACATATTATAAAACTGCAGCTCTGCCTCTCTCTCTAGGGAGACGCATGGAATTGGAAGTTTTGCAGAAAAGACTACTGCGGAGTCTTAGATCTTGGTCTTCTCCCTACCAGCCTGAGTTTAGCCTCCAAAACTTCTCTTACATTTTATGCCACTAATGGTAATATGCATCATAACTAAAGCACTTCTAACAAGCCAACCTAGGAGTCTTGTGAAGTTGCTACATTTTGCACCAAATAGGCAAATCTCCAAGCCATCCTCCCAAACATCAGATAAAATTAGTTACATTTTTAATAACCAAATTCCATGCTACTAATACCATCTTCCTCCTATAAGCTGAGGTCCTCTCCCCAAAGGGATATTTTGTGGGCAAGAGAATATTAGGACTTTGGCTACAGATTGGTTTCCAGCAATGAGATCTTCTCTCTCATTCTTCAACTTGCTGTCTCGTATCCTGCAACTTTCATCCTTACCGGCACCACTGGAGACTGACCTACTATGTCCAAAAAGGTCTCATATGCATACCTCTCCACCTCATTCAAGGGCTCCAATTCAACCACTCTGGTCTGCAGAGACTGCAGAGACTGTTCTTAGTGCTGAACTGCCAGGAGCTCCTAGCACTATGTGCAAACATATGCCACTTCTTCTTGGGGAAGATAATCATACAGATGGCTGGACCTGCATTCTGTTTAACTTTTTGGCTTTTCTGCTCCCACTCCCTTCCCAGTCTCCCCGTCCCACTGCCTGCCCCAACAGCTTCTTGTCCTCTTCCTTTTGTTTATGGGGTAGTTCTATCTATAGGGTTTGATTTTTTTCCCTCAACAGCATTAAGGCTTATACCCTTTATGTTCTCCCTCCTCTCAGCCAAAATCCTTTTCACCTGGTCATCTCACTGTCCTAGGGTGCACTCACTTCACACTGGGCTGCTCTGAGCTTGAACAGAACACTCTTACAACTGCCTCAACATGTATACCTTTGGCTAGGCTTTAGTTCCACCTGCCATCTAACAGGTGGTTCACATGGCCTCTACAAAAGAAGCTGAGGGCCCTCCCTTGATCAAGAAGTCCTATCAAGGTGGGGTGGGGGGAAGTCAGTCAACTTCCAATGTTCAGCTCTTCTGCAGAGGGCCTGAGAGACATGAGTGGAGTCACCCCCTTAGACCAACTTTGGTACTAGCTTAGCTTAGCTTTGGTACTAGCCTTTGAGTTTTAAAATGTATTTGAAGAACTGCTTCATTGTCCTTTAGGATAATTGTCTTTTAGGACAATTTCTTTTCTAAACCATGACTACTATTCAGTATGTCAAGAGTATCAAGAAAAAACTGATTTTAAAATCCTCGCTGAAATGGGCTTTATTGAGTAAGAAAGCAAAAGGTCCACCTGAGCCAGATGGTACCTCGGGAGGGCAGATTCAAAGCACGCTAGGGAGTGATGTGGTTAATAACATGTCTGAGTGCCCTTGGAATCTCCAGTCTGACTGGCCAAGTACCCATGTGCAACTGGGTTAAGTGTGGGAACCTGCAGCAGCAGTACAGAACTGGGCTTGAACTCATGCCTCTGGAACCATAGCAAGATCCCTCAACTTCCCTGCCACCTAACCCTAGCAAAATATTACGCAAGTCTCGGAAATAAACCTACTGAGATAATCTAAATTAAATGCAAAATCAGTGCACCACATAAAAGAGCTAGTGAATATAAAGATTACACCTCAGTCTAGTACTACTCATGTGTAGTAAATGCCGATTCCACAATTTTCCTCTTTACATTTACCATTCTGAGAAGTGTGAAGATCAGCAAGATTCTTATGTGCATGAGATGCATCCAGTGCCTTTTAGATTATTTTCTATTTTTAATATGTTATATGTCAAGTTAAGCAAGACAGTTAGGTGTCCCATGTCTTTCCCGTCTAACTCACAAGATACTGACCTGGCTGCTAGTTCTACAATCCAGTCCAAGTAAAGGATAGAGTGTTGTTGCACTATCCCAGAAGCGAGGTAACGTCCAAAGTTCCTTTTTTCCTATTGCTCCAAACTGGCACAAATGGCCTTCTATGCTATACAGTAAAGTTGCTGTGTTAGAGGGTAGAGGCAAGGTTCTGTCACTTCTCACCCATACACATGAAAGGGAAAGTCATAGCCCATTTCCCCCTCTCAGGCTCTGCTGATGAGCAGCCCATACAGTGACATAAAGAGGCTCTTTACATCATTTACTCTTCTCCTTTGGCATGCCAGAGATCACAATTGACTCCATGGAGAACAGACAACAACTAACTTACCAGAAGTTTACTCTGAACCTACACCGCTACCTATTTAAGGTTACATTTGGTGCAATACAGCTAACAATACACCTGCCTGGTTATTAAAATGCAAGTTTAATTTACAACAAAAACTGTTTGTTAAATGTATATATATCCTCAAGGACTTTAAAAATAACTAATGTATGAAATTAACAGCACACTGCTATTTCCCTAAAGAAAATCTTAATAAGTTAATGGAATAAGGAAAGCCTCCAGGTTTATTGAAACCATGCAAAACAAGATCTCATTGTGCCCTCCAGCACATTTTGTTTGTCAACGAAGGTTTTATTTTACTGTCACTGCCTTTTCAAATATAAAAACTGCAAGATATTTTGCAAAATTAAATTTGCATAAGTTGAAAAAAAAACATTATTACAAACAGCTGCATAATAAAGACAAAATTGACAATAGTACCAAAAAGAAACTTACTCAGGAGAGTTGAGATTGAGACCTAGTGTTGTTAAATCACTTCCTAATGCAAGATGTACCATTCCTGGGTCGGTCTCTGCTGCCCTGATGAATGTTAACAATCCAATCATTCCAAACTGGTCCGTCACCATCCCTTGAGGAATGTTGGTAACCCGACCTGGGAAAGACCAATAAATTCATTCTCTTCTTTCATGAAATAGAAGAATCTTGTGAATGGATTTGCAGAAGGACTTTAAAAAAATGGAAGGAAAATTAACAAGGCATACATACCATCAGGTAACACCTGGATCCCTTTTTTCTGCTGGTTGTTGTTTTGCGTTGTTGAACTTTTATCTCCAGGGAATTTGGGTCCATCTGCACTAGATGATGTTTTGCCTGATGTATTCAAATTCTATTAAGGAAGAATATTTTGTGCAGGTTAGCATAAAGCAGAAAACATAAACCCAACATGGAAAAACTGGTATAAGTGGGATGTCTGAAACAAGTGCTCTATACAGTTATCAACAGGATTATACATGTTACGAAGCTGAAGCCTGATCATATCCCTACAGAAATTAAATAAAATACCACACTACAAGGTTCTTCATCTCTAAATTTTGGTGGTGGGAGGGAAATGTTGGTTTACTGATCTTAAACTATGATGTCGCACTTGTGTTTAATATTTCCTTCATGTACAAATATACCAAGACACGGATGCCCTCAACTTCTCAGGCTTTACGCCTTAACAACATGTAAACCATTTGGGACTCTGGCACAATGGGTTACTTATTACTTTTGCAAAACTTATAAATCTAAAAAGTGCTGTTTCTGGACATTTATCCCCCTGCCCAAATAAAACTTCATCCAAATATATGGCCTAACATTTAATAATAAAAGGAAAGAATAAACATTGGGAGCAGAACATTACTTAAATTCAAGCTACTGGAGTTCCTAAACATGGGCACAGAAGGAACTTGTAAGACTTCCAATTCCTTGCCAACAATCTGTCCTCAAAAAATGCCCTTCTGAGGTACAGAAACTGACACTCTGGGATAACAACCAGACCCAATTACAGAAGCAAGCAAAACACTTGACATGCTTGCACCCTTTAAGACAGACATATAAACGCAACATCTGCCAAGCAAGTTGTATAAATGAACACCCTGTACTGCCACAAACTGACACAAATTGATCTTCCATAACCATTACCTATTATTTCTATATCACAGATATATAATCTTGACACAAAACTGTCCTTAAGAGATCAGGGTTAGATCAAATGATACTGCTTGAAATACTCAGCATTGTGCCTCTTCTTACTTTTAGACACCTGGCCCCCAGAGAAGAAACCACAGATTGAGTTAGACATTTAGGTTCCCTATATGATATAGTAGAGGCCTCAGAAGTGGATCCACAGCAGCCAGCATGCAAAGCCAGGAGCCAGTTAAGCTAAACAATAGAAAATGCTGATAACATGGGGATAGGTATCCAGGTTGTGGCCGTATTGGTCTAGAGGAAAAGGCAAATCAGGACTTGTAGTAGAGATATCATCTTTTATTAGACCAACAAGATTTTTGCAAAAAAAAAATAAAAAAATAAAAAAAAGAAAAGAAAAGAAAAGAAAAATCTTTAATTGCAAGCTTTCCGGCACAAACCTTTCATCAGACATTGGAAAAAAGATTGTAAAAGTTCTCCTAGGTAGAAATGAAAGTTCATATTTCATAGGATTTCACGAAGGAGTCAACAGATGGAAAGCTATTCAAGGTAATTTGCATCACCACAGATCCACACAGGAGGTGAAAGGCTCCATACCAGCTATGAACTGACTGCCCAGAAGAGTTTTCCATTTATTGACTCCTAAATTTGTCATGATAAAGCAGTAGTGTAACTCCATTGGTATATTACCAATTTTAAACTAAGTTGCCAAAAAAAATTACCACTGAAGGAAAATATGTTTTTATATTTACTTACAGATTTACTGTCATCGTTACTTGATGTTGGATCTTTATAGCTGGAGCCTGGTAATGCTGGAAAATCCTCATTGTGTATCGAGAAGTCCTGGGATTGCTCACTTGCTGGTTTTGTTACCATTCCAACTACAATCAAAATTAAGCCGGTTACATTAATATTACCATAAAAATATTTTTCTGCCATTTGGTTACACTTTTTTGCATTATAAGTAAGGAATGAAGTGTACCATAAATATAGAACTGAAAGAAAATATAAAAAGAACAGAAAATAACAACAAGAGAGCAATTGGCTGTTCACCAAATACAATCCCAACTAAAAATGCTCCTAAGAAAAAAAAATCCGAGAAAGATTTGGGGCTCAATTCTTATCCAGAACAGCTTAATTTCACTACATTTACACTCTGGATTAAAACTCATTTTATCACCACCACCACTCTCTTGCCCATTTGAACAAACAAACAAACTCTTCTGAAGATTATCAAAATTATTTTTAATAATAATAATAATAATAAAATAAGATTGATGAAGGGAAGAAAGTGTTATGGCTGTAAAAGGTATAGATCTCTTTTCTTTAGTACTGTAAAGATTTTCTGAACAAAGGTCAGATTATGTTTTACAAAATACTTGTATGTCTTTTGCAATAGAACATCACTAGTTATAGTTGCCAATGACTTGTATAGCAGAAAAATTGTAAGTGCTTAGCCTGCAACTCTGCTCTGACCCCAATTTCTAAAAAGTAGGCCATTGCCACTGAACATGGAATCCAAGATCGGAGAGCAGCATTTGCTATTATCCCAACAAAAGAATACTCCAGAGGCTGCCATCCTAGCTCAGATGCACAGAACCCCCCCAGCAATCAGGGCTTCATCACATTAAGTGCGGATAGAGGGAAGCCTAGAGCTCATTTTTTCAGAGATTAATGTGAGCACATGAACAAAAATTACATTACTGATGCCTTTCTAGTGGTCCGATGTCAAGGTCTACTTCCTAAATTCACAGAAGGGAACTATGTTGAGTGAATACTGTTGTCTTGACTATTACTATTTTTTCACCCAAGCAGTTAGTCAAATTTTAAGGTGTTGCAGGTTGCTTCTGTTATGAGGAGAAATCGAAGGAGTCTTGCATTTATCTGTACCCAGCAGGAATCAAAACAAGAGAAAGCGTCTTTGTTCAGTTTCAAGGCTCCTTCAGCTTGTCCTTAATGCAGAAGTGCACTCTCTCAGCTTTTTCATTGAAATCATGCTACCAGTATTACATCTGTGGCTCTGCCTGGTACTTCTTGCTGCCTCTCTAAGCTCTTCTGGTCCCTTCTGTTTTTCTTTCCCTGACATACAAGCCCTAATAAAACAATACCCGTGATTATCATCTACCCACATGCGACTTGCCATGTGTCTTTGTTTTGTGTAGTGATATGTGCCTGTCTGGGATGGATGCTACTGTTGTTTTAGCACCTGGTTCCATAAAAACTGTACCACACAGTTACAGGTACTTACAGCTACCATAAAGTGGTTATGCCTAACCCATGCCACTGATCACAGCCAACCCACTGCAGACAGAAAAGGAAAAAAAAAAAAAACCCTGCAAAAAAGGTCTAGGATACACTTCTCTACAAGAGGTAGCAAGCTAAACCTTGATACTATCATTTCTTAACACTGTGGGGGTATGCTCAGGGGCATAGGTTTTATAGATTCCCACCATCTCAAAAAGCCTGCTGAAACACTGGATTTAAGGTTTTCTCCTCAACTTGCATGTAACAGATTTATGACTTCGAATCCAGTGAATGGTTTCTGTAACCAGAACACATGTTCCTGTTGCATTATCTTGGTTTCCTACTATAGGCACTTCAGGACAGTTTGTGAAATGGTCCATTGTTAGCAAGTATGGATTACTGGTCGGTTTTAGGAAGAATATTAAGGGCTCCATTAGGGCCTCTATAACATATTAATTTATACACGGATTAGAAGGGACTTTCTTTACAACACAAAAGAAAATTTCCTGCCTGCATTTCATTTCAACAACAACAAATGCCCTCCTGTGCAAGATAAGGTTTTTACAACACTAAAGGCGTCAAGCATTTTTAAACTCGTGACACTGCACAACCTCCATTTTTTCCAGTGTATTTGGTACATACCTACACAAGAATTTCATGTAAACTTCATCACAACAATTAGGAAGCTTTTATGATGGCATTTTGAAAGCATACTGCAGTCAAAATGCATATTGCCAACTGAATTTCAGCAAACTTTTGTTACTTTGGAGTCTGCTCTTATAAACACTTCATCTACTGTCTGTGGGCATGTATTAGGAATACCTTCCTACAAATTATGGAGAGAACACAGCCGTATCTTTTGGAGCACATGTATTCCTTCAAGCAGTCAATTCCTTGGTTTACTGCTTAAGGTAGTATTTATGATTAGTCTTTCAATAGGCCATCTGCAAAAGGCCTCACACCTTTACCATTCTTATAGCCAGGCCTTCATGTAATTTAAAATCATAGCACTTCAATTTTTCCTCCCAACCACCTGGCAAGTTTTCCCACCGGATTCCTGAGTCTAAAGAGCCACTACAGGGATGCAATGCCTGCCTCGACTACAAATTTCCTTCCATGCAGCAGTAAAAATGTTCTATAGATTTAACCACTGCCAGGAGTTCCTTTTGGATGGTACAATCATTTCTCTCCAGAAGACTTTTGCTGCAAAAGCCACCTCCTCCTTAAGGCCTGTATGTTAGTGTGTCAATAACACCTCCAAACTGCAAGCACTTGCATCTGTGTCCATTATGAAAGGGGTTTTGAAACACAGGTAGGCTAAAACAGGAGCAGTCACAAGAGTCTGAAAAAGCTGCATATCACACTCTGCTGACACCTGAAATGGTTGCCCTCTCACCCAAGCTATGCAATGGTTTTGCAATACTGACAACCCACAAACTTCCTATAGTAGGAAGAGAATCCTAAAAAAGGCTGCACATGAGTGGCTAGGGAGTTGGCCAATTCTGCACAGCTCCAATTTACTTTTTGTCCGTGGAAATTCCCTTGTCACCTTTGTGCACCTGAAATAAAATTACCATATTCAGGAGCTTGCATTTTGGGGGATTCAAATACAGTTTGGTAGCCTTAAGATTAAATGTATTGGTTTTTGTTCAAAGGTTGTACCATGCAACAGGATATCGTCTAGGCATAATGAATAGGCCAAGACAGTCATACAGTGCAACACTGTCTACCCCTGGCCTCAATATGGCAAGTGAAATGCACAAGCCAAAAATCAATCACTTCAAAACTGCCACCAGCTTGGTCCTACAGTAAGACAGTCTCCAACTCCCCCCACTTCTAATCCACTTCCCAGGGGTCACACTTAAGTTCCAGACTTCACCTGCTACAGCATCCCAGGTTACGAATAAGAATTCTTTAAAGTGACTTAAATTTAGGCTCAGTCTACACTAATGTTTTGTCAGAATATCTGTATGGGCTAGGGAGTATAAAGATCCATGGTGTGAAGACAGTTATGCTATCAAAGGAGTGCTTTAGTTTGCTTAGGTCATGTCATTTGGGATATAAAGAAGGAAAAGAATGTTGTAGCTAACACTGGCAGAAACACTTCAAGATCTGCATATGCTGTGCCTAACTACAGCAGAAGTAGGTGTCTTTGTCAACACAGACATGCCAGCACGGCTACAGCAGTGCAGGCAAGCCTTTCCCTAATTACAGTCCACAAAGAATCTAATGCTGCTATGTTTCCCATAGGCAGGACTACAGGTGAGACAATCCACTAAAACCTCTGGTAGCTCAACTTGACTAACTCCCCTTGTAATTTTGATACCAGCCTTTACTTTATCCTCTGGATCACATTTTACAGCCATGGTTTCTTTTCTAACTATCCTTTGCCTATCAGAAATATTCAACAGATTAATAGGGATCTATTCTTGCTTTGGGTCCAGAAAAGCTTTGGCACCTAGCACTCCCGCAAGATCCTAGATCTCAAAAATGTTTTAATTATTCACCATCTTTCTTTACAGGAAAGTTTCTATAATATAACTACTAAAATAGTTTCTGTCTTTGGAGGCAGAACAATTTGTTCACTGCAACCCACAAATTTCTTTAGAGGGAATTTCCACAGACTGAATGTGTTTGACAGCACTCCTGCTCAATTTGAATTAAATTAAATTAAACCGATTTATTTATTCATTCACCAGCTTGGTTACTCACATTCCAGAGATCCAATTTCAAACCCAGTTTTTGGAAGCAAGCGCACTCCTCAGACACCATCCCCATTTCAAAACAATTAATTAGTCCAAATTTGTATTCCCTATTCCCTGGCCTTTTTAGTATGCTTGGTTTAATCACTTAAGTTAGAACTAGCTTGTCTACCATTCCTGCTCAGTTCATCACTCTCACAGGCCATCTCACACTGTCGCTATCAAACTTCAACTGAAAACAAAATAAAAAGGTATGCATATGTGATATGTAAACTAACCATGGCTCTGCAGGCCACCAGTGGTCCATGGACCACATTTTCATAACTGTTGCCATTGGCCAACCTCCTTTTATTACTGTTATATATATGTATATATGTATTGCTGCTTTTAAATTGTATGTATAAGTCTGAACTGCAAGGTTGAAGATTTGGGACAAAGGGATTGGGGAAAACTGGGCGAAAAAACTTTAATAGACACTTGTGACGCTCTGTCCTGGCCAGCCTTATGTTTAGAACAATCTTTTAGTGTGGGCAATTTTTTACCCTTCCCCCATTTAATGTTAATTGCCCTTATTTTACCAACTGAATTTACCACTTTTTCTAATCATTCAAAAATGTTATGAACCAGAATAGAAGCCCCTTTTTCATTATACATATTGGGCACAGAGCTGTACTTACAGGGATCTTGGCAATCAGCTTCCATCTTTCTCACTAGCAGCTGCTTCCTCTTCTGGTGCACTGCAACAAGGAAATAATATTCAAGCTCTGTGGTAAATTCCACAGCCTCTCAGAGTGCCTTTGGCTTCCTGTAACTCATCTTGATCTGCAAGTCCAAGCCCACCTGAGTAATTAAAAATTAGCACATTGTCATTTTCCCTGGAAGCCCTCATTGGTATTTGAGTAGAACAGGATCAAAAACTTGGCAGGTCCTGTGGCAGCTGAAGTATAAACTCTTCTTTCTTCTAGCTTTTAGCCATGCCCTTGGCCAGTTCAGATTGACGGTTGGCTCCAAAATGCATATCAAGGGTGTGTAATAGATCCAGGTTACATTTCTTTTCTTGAGGGCAAATTCTCCATCACCAAAATAGACCTCAAGTTGGTTGCTAGGAACTCCCCCCACCCCTTTTTTTCCTGTCTTCTTTACAGCTATTCAACTTGACTTTGTTGTTGAACTAAGCCAAACAGTCTTTCCAAGGAATTTTTCTAAGACATAATGGGTTCTTATATTACCTGAGTTGGAACAATACAACTGCTGCCCTAAAGCAAGAAAATAAATTTTCTGGCTGATCTTATTCTTCATCCAGATTGACTGATTATCAAGGGAGTCTGAAATGCTTTGATTTCCTTCCAGAGCTGATTGTGAACTCCTTAAGACCTTGCTGCAGCTCATTTCTGTTATTGGGTTCTGTGTTGGTCAACTGTACCTCTTTATGTGAGATGTGGTCCATGGTAGTCAGATTGCTGGTTACTTCATTAATCTCTCTTTCCATACCAGACTGGAAGTGATACACTTGGACTTTTCAATCTATCCAAATACTTTAAAACTACTGTTTTAACAGAGATTACATCTTTGCTTTCCTGTCATCGTTCAGTCCGATTTGGGAAGGTTCTTTATGTTGCTTTAATTCCTTTTTGAAAAGGTCTGCAGCTCTTGCCTTAGGTCTTCCTTTAATTTTTTCTGAACATTTCCGATTTCTGCATGTAACGCCATCATTTGGTTCATTATGGATTAAAAGGAGCACCAGCTCAGACTCTCACTCTTCTCTGACCACAAAATTAACCAAACTGCAGGTGTTGCAGGTTGCTTCCATTAGAAGGAGAAATTGTAAAGAGAAAAGACTGCAAAGAAACACTATTAAAAGAACACACAAAGTTCTGTTTCCCGAGCATACCAGGAATCAAACAAACACAAAGCAATTTTGTTCATAGTTCCTTCAAGCTTGCACTTCCAAGCCTCTTTCAAGCACACACTTTACCCAAAAGCAGACTTACACCTTTCACTCATGACCATGTTACTAATGCATGTCTGATGCTTTCTTGCTGCCTTCTCTCACTTTTTTTTTTTTTTTTTTTTTTTTTTTTA